ACATTTATAGATTGATTAGTTTAAACATAAAAATATCATAAAATCAGGATTTCAAATGAAAAGACCTGTTTTTTCTTTTCAACCAAACATTTAAATGTTTCCAGCATATAAAATATATATTCTCGTGACTCCTTTTTGGACGTTTAATAAACATGGGAATACATCAACTAAACACATTGTAATTATTGCTGTATTCATTATGCTAATAACTGCATAAACATCGTGTAATGATAAATGTGATAAGTATGACAGCTCATTGAACAAAAGTTGAAAATTTGGTATTTTAAAATACATTGAGTAAAATAAAGATTTCTATAGCTACTATTTTTCTATTTTAGACCATTCTGGGTTGTTCTTTATTATACTACTAGCAAACCATTATCAGATGATAGTTTATAAGAAGATTCTTCTTATTTTATGTACTGAAAAAATTTGAATAAAATTATACTTGTAATAATATTTAAAATGATAACGGAGATTTAAAATTAAAAATTAATGCAAATTTAAATATTTTATCAAAAATATAATAGTTTAATATAATAATATGTATGTTGTTTTATTCAATTTTATACATGTCATTTAAAAATGAAGTGAATTATTTCACAACTTAAAAAAAAATTATTTTAAATCAAACTGCAATATTTTAATGTTAGATAGTTTATTTGATCTAGGTACTGATCAAATAATATTTTTTAATGTTGTGATAAGTTGAAAACTAATTATTAATTAAAAATCTTATAAGTTATAGAAGTATTTATTAAAAATTAATGATCAACTAATATATATTAATAAATAATTATAATAAAAAATATTAAGTGTCTATTTTTTAAATGGGTGTAATTTTTTGTTAAATGCTCATGATAACTTGATTATCGAAATACGTATAAGAATAGGCAAGGCAAGTATGTACGATATTTTTATTTTACTTAGAAGATTAATACTTTCAAATATATTTTTTAATTTTTAACTTTATTTATTTTTCAAAAAATATATCTGTTATAACAAAGTCAATTAATATAGAAATGGGCTAAATATAAGGACACCAAAAGATCCCATCCGTGATACATATTCATTCAGTGTATTAAATTGATTGTATCTCAATAAATACCTGTCAAATTTTTATTGGCCTATCAAGATTTTTTTTAAGAAAAAGGTTCAAAATTAACAAAAAATAATTTTTCTTTTATTTATTTTCTTATTAGTGATAAATAATAAAAAATATGTATTCAACATATTTTAAGAAGTCTATAATTATAAAAAAAAATTTCAATAAAATGATGATTGTATTAAAAATTAGTAAGTTTATCATATTTCCGTGACCCACTCAGTATTTTAATTACTCGCTGAAATTCACAGTACCACTATCTGATTAAAATTAAATTTGCTCCATTTTTTTTTATGATAGAACCAAAATATATACAAGGATTCATTTAGAAAAGTATATTTTAGAGATGATTTTCTAATGGGATGAATACAAAAATCATTGAGTTTCATATTAATAAAAAAATCGAATAATTTTGATCGAATTTTAGTTATTTTATTTGGAGTTTAAAATGTTGAAGTATATGCTTAAGTAAATTTAAATTAATAATAGTAAAAATGGATAATATGTCAAAAAAAATACTTTTACACCTAGAAAAACAATTGAAAAAATTATATAGCTACACAACTTAGTCAATATCGAATCGCTTAATATTTACTAAAAATGTTGTGACAATTTTGCAAAAGTACGTTACAGAGAAACGATTTACATTTTATCTATTTATTGTTTTATGAAAGTTGTATTCTTTGTATAAAAAAATTAATATTTATATAATTATAGGCATTATTATTTTAGAACATATTAATTATAACACATAAGGAACGATGGGGCAAGTTGACACCCTTTAGCTGTAATATTCGTGATGTTATCCTTTAGCTATTACAATAAAACAAATTTGGTATTTATTTATTTATACTCAAGTTAACATCTTACAACTTAAAACAACAATACTATATCATTTTTGAAAATCATGTATGAACGCGATTCATAACAAACATATGAATTTAAATTATTTTCGAAAATGTTGTCATTGTTTAATTAATATATTTTAAAAAACTTGTTATAAAAGTTCGAAAATATTACTATATTTTATAAAATCAAGGTCATCTTGCTCCGCTCTCCTCTTGTTGTTTAAAGTATTTACTTTGATTGTTAGTGGATTTTTTTTGGAAGTTTTCGTCCGTGTTTTAGGCCATCCCGAATTTTATGATTTCACAAATAGAACTCTTAGTTTTATTATACAGAGTGATTCAATCATCACAAACCACCAACTGGTTGAAAAATATATCTCAATTTATCAAAGTATTTTTGATGTTCTTCTCTTATACCTTGTAAGGGTGTCAACTTTATTTTTTTAAATTGAATCATACACAACTAACTTGTTTAATAGATAGTTGTCTAATGAAGATAATGACTGGTTGATAAAAAAACTTATAAATCAGTATTTTGGATGTTATTAACATGCTGTAATGAAGTTTAACTCGTGTGTTATTTTTATCAATAGTCATTTCTTTGATACAATTTTACTTTTGTCTATGTATAAAAATGTCAATAACTTTCAAAATACCGGTCCAAAAATTGTTGTTGATCGATTAATTTCTTAATTAGATCATTATCTATGAAATAAACTAGTTCAGTAGCTGGATACAGCTCGTACTGGTGCATATTTATAATGTATACTCCACCCGCATTACACATACATTTTATATATTTAAATATAAGTAACTTAATGTATACTTACCAAAAAATTGTAATCATTTCATAAAAATGTTTTGAAAAAATTAAAAATTAAAAATTACATATATATATATATATATAATTTTTTTATTAGGGACAAGTAATAGAAATTCTGATTCAACATAGTCCAAACTGTAATAATTATTTAAAAAAACTCAAAATATTCGCTGAATCAAAAGTGATTAAGGATGTCAGAACATGGCAGGACATACTGTGCTTATAAAATTATGTAATGGGATTTTCAAAATGATAGGCATGAAATAAATATAATATTATACATAATTAAAATACAATTATTATGTAATATGTAATATATTAACATAGATTATTTTGTAATTATTGTTCAGTGTTATGACGTTCAAGTGCAAGTCAATGTCTTTTGAAATATAGATGTAAATCACTCAGATTTGATACTGTTCTATAAAGTATCCAATTTTTAAATGTATTTTTGATATTGGCTTCATCAATATTTGTTCATAAATAATTGTGGTACTTATGGTGAGATTCTGAAAATGAATTATACATAATAACTATGTGTTGGTACAGAACGTCTTTAGCAAAGATCTAGTAGACCAGTTGTTACAAACATCGTTGATTACATTTATGGTGTAGCAGCTGATTTCCAGCGTCTTTCTTTACTCACCCCCTTGCCCACCCAGCGAGGCAAATCGATGACCTCTGTTGTCAATTGTCATCCGTGTACAGTTTTTCGTCGTAAGTCAGTCAGTCAATTGTTTTATGTGTTATTCTTTTTGTAGCAAGCGCCTTCGCTTGAATGGTAAATTGTTCCGCCATTGTACGCGGTTATTCTTTTATTTGTTTATTGCATTCTTGTGCTCAAAGTTTTCGTGCCCTTGCACACCACTAGTGACCACCACTAAATATCTTCATTGCCGTTGTCGCTTTTCCGCCGTTTGTTCTCATCTGCCATTACGTGCCTGGGGATCTACACTCTGACTCGTCATACTCGGATGTTCGACAGCATTATCACAAGATCTCATACAATCCACTCATCACTATTTTAACAACTTCATCTGTTCATCTGAGTTTTATATTGTTTTTAAATGCTATTTATTGTTTGTTTTAATTGAGTTTAACTAATTTGTTTATGCCGCTTCGCCGGCCATTAGTATTTAAGGGCCTCCCGCTACCCCTTAAATTTAAGATACTCTCTGAAGAATTTCTAGTATATGTGGTTATTTGTTATTTAATTATTGTCTATTCTCGTTACTTGGAGGATGTACAGTTAACCGTCATGACCCAGGGGACCCGTTTCCGCTTTAATAATAGCAATTTAAACAGGCTTAAGGTAAAACGGCATTCTAGTGCGGTGCACAACTAGCCGTCCTACGGTCTAGCTGCCTCATACAAAACAAATAACTACATAGTTGAATTGATAAATATGTAATGAGGAGTACAATCAAAAATATTAAACTCTTGAGAAATAATTTTAGATAGATGTTGTTGCTATTAATTTCATACTATTTTTTTAGTCGATCAGTTTCAGTCAAATTAGGATTAATTAAACATTTCGATCCTGTTGCTATACTTATTTTGGCAGTCTTATATAAGACTACCAAAATACGTCTTGACTTATAAGATTATAAAAATACAATATATTATACCCTATGAGTTTACCACTTAAAATGGTAATTTCATTTTCTCCGATAGTATTAAAAATTTGTTCTTGTTGTTCCTATGAATTTATATTTATCTGTAATAAAATATATGAACAATAAAAATATTAAAAATTAGATTAGTATTGCTATAAAAAAAGAATGTTTACTAAGAATATTTTAAAATTAATGAATATATTTCTATATAACATTTAATTAAAATTTAACTTTACATAGAAGATTTAATGAGTAGTTAAAATGCTTAACATTACTCACAAGTGGAGGTCACCATATGGGATCACCGGTTTTCAAAAAAGTTATATGAATCTAATCTACATTGAACATATAGTTGCACTTACTTTGAATTTTTTGCTAATTCCCCCCTAAACAGAGAAAACGATTTTCTATTAATTGTGAGTTAAAATTATCAAAGATGATTTATTTTAAATCAATTTTGACCCTTGTTGTCTAGCAGTACTAACGGACAATGGAAATTAAAATTTAACGAGTTGGTGTATTTGTATTACAAAATAAATTAATGTACAAAATCGGCTAGATCGCGTTATGAACATATTGTATTTGTTATGATAATGATAATAGAGTAAGATAACAATCCGGCTTCAACACTTCGAATTTATGAAAAAGATGATATCAAATAATTAAAATACTGTCGAATAAAATCGTATTTGTGTTTCTTTATTCATTTTTGTTGTGTGTATTTAGTTAGTGTTAACAATTTTTAGAATGGCTGAAAAAGGAGATCAGCAGATTGATAAAAGTACTGCCCCTACTAATATTACGGATCAGGAACGTGACTGGGCTCAACAAGCACTAGCCGAGTATGAACAAAAAAATTTTAAAGCTTGTATGGAATATTTGAAGCAGATTGAAGCTGTACGATCCAATGATCCTAAAGTTATGCTTAACAAGGCGATTGTTGAGTTTTATGAAAATGGTCTCTGCACAACAGACAAGTTTCGCAAAGCTTTTACAGAAGTCTGCACACAAGTTGATATTAATCTTGAATTATTAGGTTCACTAGATGATGTAGAGAACTGTATATACTATTATAATTATGCAGTTTTATTATACCATTTAAAGTATTTCAACAAAGCTCTCAATGTCATTAATATAGTTTATGCTTTTATTGAGTCATTAGGTATTATTTTTACCACCTTCTATGAATAAATAATTATATATTGTTAAAGAACATATCTTATGTTGTTTCACAGTATAATATTATACTTACATCACATTATATTTTGCAGAGGAAAGCTTGGCTCATAAAGTATGCTTATTGATAGTCCAGCTTCATTTGGACACTCAAAAACCTATGAAAGCATTAAAACTTATTTCATACATTGAGAGTCAATTTGTATCCACAGAAAATGCCACAAATATACTTACTGGATCTGGAGAACAGGGAGGTCCTATTCATAATGAACCAGATAAGACAGAAAAAGTAATTTACGAATTTTGAAAATAAAAGTACATTCATGATACTGAATTTTAAATTTTTTCAGAAAACAAATTTAGATGCTGCAACTGATGCATTTCGAATAAGTTTAATTCAGTATCGAGTAAGATGTTTAATGGAGTTGAATCAGTTTGAAGAATGTATTCAGCAAATAGATACTATTAAAGAAAAACAAGTAATTTATAAGTATTATTTTTTATTAATTAGTTGTTTAACATTTTTTTAAATGTAAAAGGATCCAGTAACTTTACTTTTAATGGGAAAATTAGAGTATCTTCGTGGACATCATAAAGAAGCTTTAGAAATATTAAAAGAAATTCATCAAACAGACAGTTTCAAGTAATTTGTCATAAAATTTGATAATTATTTATATTATAACTGTGAGTAATATTTTAGAGAAACGGGTGTGTGTTCAAATGTATTAGTAAACAATAATGTTGCATGTTTATACCATTATGCAAAAAAACCAACATTAGCTTATACTTCTATTTACAAAGCACTTGTTCAACATCAAAAATCTTTAAAAGAAGTTACAAAAGCAAATCATGGTATTTTTTTTTGTTTATTATCATTCATCAGTATTATTAACAGTATATTTTATTATACATGAAGTGGAAGGAGCTTTGTCGGGACAACCTTTACACGTGATTGGAGCTAGTGTCAAGACTGAACTAATGTTCAATTTAGGTATTAGTTTATTACATGCACAAAAGCCTGAAGAAGCATTTGACTGTCTTATAGAAGCAGTTCAGACATATCATATGAACCCAAGATTATGGTTACGCTTAGCAGAGTGTTGCATTATGACACACAAAAGTGTAATATATTTTTATTTTACCAACAATAAATTATGTATTTTTTATCATAAATTATATCTGTTTAGAGTAATGAAAGAGATTTTGACTTTAAAAAACCTTATATTGAAGGTGTGGTTGGTTCTGGTATACATAGAAAAATCATTTTGAAATCCCAATTATTTCCTGATACCAAGTATAGGTTTGTTAAATTTAAATCTTTGATTTTATAGAGAAAAGGCTTATGTTTATAAAATATGCAAAGAGATGTATTTTTTCTAAAAAAAAAAAAGTAAAATATTGATTTAAGCCCTTTTTTCTAAAATTAAAGTTTATACTTAACTATCATTAAAACTATTCTATTTTTGTTATATAGTAGTGAAGCAGTTTCTGCTGCTGTTCCAATGCCTAGTCTNATTTTTGTTATACAGTAGTGAAGCAGTTTCTGCTGCTGTTCCAATGCCTAGTCTAGAATTTGGCTCATTGTGTATTCGAAATGCAGCTATATTAATAAAAAAAGATTCTATAGATTATTCACCATCCCATACACCAGTAGATAATGATATTCATTATATTTTTGGTTGTATACAATCTGCTGGTGCTTACATAGCGTTATGTTTGGGAGATCCTATAGTAGCATTAAAATATTCTCAAGAATTACTTGAATACAATACAGTAAACAAAGTCCACAAGTAAATTGATAACGATAATATAATATGTTCAGGATTTATACATTAATCTATTATTCTTATTTCTAGATTTTTAGGTCACTTGTATGCAGCAGAAGCACTAATTTTATTAGATAAGCCTAATGAAGCTATTGATATGTTAAAAGAATCTAGTGCATTAGATGATTTACAACCTGAATTACAAGAACAACTTACTTCTGATAATTGGAAACCAGATAAACAGAAATCTGCTAAAGCAGTACTTTATTATAATCTAGCAGTAGCATTGACATTGAGAGGAGACCTTGATAAAGCTGGAGAACTGCTTAAACAAGTAAGTACTTTGATATCTCTTATTATTTCATATTGTTTGTAGTAAATATAAATCAAATTTTGTTAAAAATTTAATTGTTATTATGTAAGAAGTGTCACAGTTATGAAGTTTTAAGTAATTCATAGTATGTAATACAATGCCAATATACAGTAGTTATTAAATAAACACAAATTATAGTATATCTACTTAAAAATATTAACTTCATAATGTGGTCATAAATTACATAAATCGCTAGTAATAATTTATTTATTACTTTAAACTTATTTAAGGTAATTTTGATTATAACAATATATTACATGTTCACTATTTGTATAATTAGTAATACCAAAAGTAATGCTTGGTAGAATATTGTAATATATGGATATTTAACAAAAAAAATGGGAAATATACTAAAAAATCACATTGTAATTATTACAATTATATTTATTAGTAAACATATTTTTATATATACCTTATATGCTCTACGATTTTTAAAATGATGAAAAATATATTAGATTATTAAGTTAGATATTGGGTTAGATATTTTTATTTAGTTTGGTCGTAAAATATTTATATTTATACTCTAATAGTAACCAATCTACANAATGAAAAATGTATTAGATTATTAAGTTAGATATTAGGTTAGATATTTTTATTTAGTTTGGTCGTAAAATATTTATATTTATACTCTAATAGTAACCAATCTACAGAATAACATCTAAGGGGATTTATTATCACATTTTTATAATTATAAATAAATCAATATTTACAATATAACCCATGGTATCATGATTTCTTTATTTTCCATTTTTTAAGTTTAATTGTAACAAATTAAACATTTTCTTTGCTTTTAACTTACTTCGTATTTTTTAAATAAAATTTTTTAGTACACATTTTGATATAAAATAAAAAAATATTCTCGGTAGCAATATTTTTTATGTATCACTAACTCAATTAATTTATTTTCAATACTACAAAAATTCAGACATCAATTTTCAAAAATATATTATTCATAAAGTCTAATATCTATATAACAAAGTCTTAAAGAGCTATTAGTCTCAATAAGCATAGATTATGATATAGTTAACTTAACTACCAAATAATGCAAAAGTAACATTTTTTAAATTGATTGTTTTTATAGCATTGAAGATTAAGCAATAAATTCAAATTATTATTATTAACTTCAATGCGAAGCTGAGAAAGTTATAGTTTTACTATAATGTGTTTTTTTTTTTTGTTTATTTATGCTGTAGATAAAATAATAGTTATAACTATACAACTGATACATTAAAAATTTAAGATAAGTTAGCATTAATATTGGAAAATATTTTTAAAAAACAAATAAATATACTAAGTACAAAATTATTAACCTACGCGAGAATAATAACAAAATAAAGTAATTTTGTATAATACGCTTGTTAATTATTTAGAAGTTTAATATATTTCAAATAATGTTATAAAAAAGTCTATTATTATGTTATTACATAATGCTTTACACAATAACATAAATCATTACATGTCATCAACATTTTATTATGGGCAATAGAAGCTATAATTTTGGCTAACCAATATGAAATAAAGAACGACTCTTTATATTAAAACTAAGAATACTTAATCCTTAATCACTTATTAAATCAGAACTATCAATTTTAAGAAGGTCATAAATAAATTTTATATAAAAATATATTTAAGCATTAGAAAATTTTTTTAAAAATTAAAAAATTTGAGCAATTATTTTTGGAGCCAAGTTACCTTATACATTTTTTTTTATACTCTCAATAGTGGCTTTCTAACTTAATTGTAATGGATTACAAAAAGGATACCATATTTTACAATTGAGAAAATTAAAGCACAATTTAATTTTTAAAACAAATTAAATCATTGAAAAGCTTACAATGACTTAATAAATGACAGCTTTAAGTTATGGTTTGAGTTTAATAAAACATTTCTTTTATGTAAAGACTTATATAGGGTGATTCATTAAGGATAAGACACTCATATTCTCGGTAACTATTGATGTATTTAAATTTTTGGTAAGGAAAATATTGTTTGATTAAAAAAACTACAATAATATGTAGTAAAATCATAATTTTGTTCATCCTTTTAAGGTTAAAAAACATTAACTTGAATTTTCTTAAATGGGAACCCCTATTTTGAATTTGTTATTATAATTTAAAATAAAAACACAAAAAACTTTGCTCTTATAATTTTTTTCCAATCAACCGTTCGTCTGTTATAGCTTGTTAAAGTTAAATGATTTTGAACTAAATTTCTATTATTTTACTGTTTTGAATACAGAAGTCACTATTTTTAATATAAACTAGTTTTTATTGATCAAGATATGACATGTAAGATAGCAATAATAATTTACGACACACTAATTGAGAGATAATAATAATAGATTCAAATCGGGCCTTAACTATATTATTATGTAATACTGAAGAATCAATTTCTTTGAAAAACCCAACTCTATATGTAGTATAGTGACTCTTAAAACAATCCAATACTACGATAATGTTATCGTAATCATTGCTTACACAAAGTAATCTTTATTTTTGTTGACAGATACATATTAAAAGTTGTAGTGTAACCTCATAAACTGAATGAAGTTAAATTAGTTTATGTTATAACTTAGAAAATGAGTGACTCCTGTATTCAAAACAGTAAAATAATAATAGAAATTTAGTCCAAAATCATTTAACTTTAACAAGCTGTAACAGACAAACGGTTGATCGAAAAAAAAAAAATTTTAAGAGCAATAATTTGTATTTTTATTTTAAGTCATAATAACAAATTCAAAATAGGGGTTCTCATTAAAGAAAATTCAATGTTTTTTAACTTTGAAGGGATAAAAAAATTATGTTTTTACTACTTATTATTGTAGAGTTTTTTGAATCAAACAATATTTTCCTTACCAAAAATTTAAAATTTTCAATAGTTACCAAGAAAATTAGTGTCTTATCCTTAATAAATCGCCCTGTATATTTAACAGTTCTTTTTTTTTTATAGATATGGCTGTCAAAAATTGAACATGTTTCAGTCCCAGTGCATGTTGTCATATTAGCTTTATACATTCATTTGAGATTAGGTAAGTAATTTTCAATGTTAACTTAAATTTTGTTAATCATAAAGTGCAACGTTTTTTCAGGCCAAAAAGAAATTGCAATAACATTAATTAAACAAAATTGTCCTCAAGCAAAAAGATAAAACATTATTTTAAAATAACACCTAATTTATTATTTTATGTATTTATATTTTATTTTCTATTTAAGTATACAATAATATATATTATGGTAGTCAATAAAATTAGAAAAAATAAAATTCTTACAATACTAAAAACACAACAACAACAAAAATAAAATTTTCTTCTCCATTCTAATAAAATTTTTAGTCAATGAATACAATATATTTTACAAAAATGAAAAGACATAATTAAGTTTAAAAAAACTTTAATGTATTCATATATAAATTTTTGTAATCTAAAGATTATGTTTTATACAATTTTTTTATACACAGCTGAATTTCACTCCTGTAAAAGACATAATAAATATTAGTTAAAACACATGTTAATTAACAACTACAATTGCATAATGTTAAAAAAATGTATTTGAACGTACCATCATCACTGGAAAAACAGTTGTGACAGTGTAATTTTTTATTTCGAACTCTTACATCTGTACCCATGAGACCATCACCAAGCTGTACACAACAAACACAACATTTGAAACATTCAATGTGATAAAAAAGTTGTAAGCTTTCAATTATCATGGCAGCTCCACGACCTAACTCAATTGTACAGTGAGAACATTTCTTTTTACCACTTACACTTAACATAGATTCTTGAGGAGCATTGTGTTCATGTCTACAAAATAATGAAAATATATTTTACTAGAGTAAAAGAAAAAATTAAACAATGAGTTTTTTTTAATGTTATTTGGGTAAATAAGTCATTTGATCAAAATTCTATAATTTTTCATTATATAAGGGTGATCAAATAATAATAGGAATTATTTATAAAATGACCCTTTTAGTTCTAAATTTTAATAAAATTGAGTAAAAATATTTAGGTGAAGATCATTTGTCTAAGAATGCTTTTAAAAAGACTTTGAAAAAAATAGTTTTTTTGGTTTTACCTTATTAGTTATAAACCATACTTAGAGGATTTTTTGTTTTCATAGATTTAATGATATCAAGTTATACATTTTTATTTTTTTGCAATAATCAAAAATTTTAAGTGTAAAAATACCCCAATATATATCTATTGAAATTAATAAATAAAGGATTAAAATATTCAATTTAAGGTTATTTTCTTATAATACGAATAATTCTACTTGGTTATATAGTAATTAACACACAGTATAATAAAGAATCGTCAATTTAGTTTTAATGATTCAATTATACTTATCATCTGGTAATAAGTAAATTCTATTTATCAAAAAACTTTAGTTTTGTTTATTAAAATCTACCTATGAAAGTCATTAAATGACAGACGATCTTGCACTCTCTGAGTAATTGTGTTTATTACTGAATCAGGTAAAGGTTTTTTAGATTGCATTGGTGGCGGAGGTGGAGGCAATGCTGGTCTAGTTCGTGAACGTGGCATATCGGCTGATAGCGGAGGTATTTGTCGATTGCATCTATCTACCAAACGTCTATGTTCAGCTTCCTAAAGAATTTAAAATATCTTTTAGTTATAATTCAATTAATTATTTAATAATGAACTATTGTAAATAAAATTCTTGTAATGAAAATTTTTACCTGGATCAGCCAATGTTGGTAATTGTACTTTTCAGGTTGACTAATCGAAGGTTTTCGTTTAGCATATCCATTGTTTTGCTGAACTGGTCGGGCAAAACTATTTTGTGACCTAGAAATCATTTAATGTAAAATATAATTTTTTCTTTTAATTCAAATCTGTTGAAAAATAACAAATATATGTAACATTGGTACATAATAAAATCAGATATAATGATTAGAATTAAGTATAAAATTTAAAATAAATTTTACTATACACTTTAAATAAATAAATATATACAATAAGACATTATTCAAGACTTATAGATACAGAGTAGTCGATACAACCTCTCAAAAAAATTTCTTTTAGGAAAAATTAATTTGGGTTATTATAATTGTATTTAGTCATACTCTAAGAAACAAAGTTATATTAATGCGAACAAGATTATTTTGCTGTTCCGTGTTTTATTTTTATTTAAATTTATTGTTGCAAGTTAAAAAATTTCTAAATAGAAATTTAATAAAATAAGTGTACACAATTGTTTTTATGGTAGTTTGAATATAGTTTATTGATAATAATGCTTGCTGTTAGTGATAATTTAAATTTGGATTTATGCGCATCTAAAAAGTTTAAAATTACATGCTATTAATCATAAAAAATCATTGAAATGTGCATTAAATTATGATGATAAAATTAATGGTTTATGGATTTATATCCAAAAAATTTACTTAAAATATATTCCACTGGAAAAATAAGGGCTATTTATTAAGATTTAGCACTTCAATTTTTATAAAGAATATACAACACCTTATATCTAATTTTACCTTCACCATGATATTGATCATAGATATTTATTAGTATTTAAAAGAAAATATATTATAAATAAGGACATTACTTTGATTTTGTAAGTAATTGAGTGGGTTGGAATATAAAAACTACATAATAACATTATTTAGTGATATTTTCTTATTACATGTGCAATTTTTATGAAATAGAAAATACAATTAAATAATGTTATTATGTGGTTTTTATATTACGGCTTCATTGGTCTATTTTAATCATCTGAATTACTTATAAATTAAAAGTTATATTGAAAATTTTTTTTTGCCTTTTTATTTAAATTATTCTTTTGGTCCAATTTGGGACATATCTGCCAAAATTAACCGTTTTTATAGAATTATAAGTTTAATAAGCATTTTTTAGAAAAAAAAAAAAAAATCTCTGCTGTAATTATTTTTGCTATAATTTTCTTTTATTTAGATAGCAAATAACTCAAAAACTCCATTACGAGAATAAATATACGTAAGAAATCGTATTTTTATTTAATTTTATTTTTATGAAATTTTTTCATTGCAATTCTATATGAGTTAAATAACAATAAAAGATTTATGTATTTTTTGATCCTTAATATAGTAGTATTTTACGTATAATATTTATCTCATAATTGAGTGTTTTACATAACAAAATTTGTTTATATTTAATATATTTGTTATAAAAAAAAATATACGACATTTCTGAATTCCTCTCAGAATTATTTTAGTAAAAATTTTATAAAGAAAAAGATGTAAGATATAAAAATCTATGGTATAAGAGAAAAGTTATTTGATTAAAAAAACTATAAATAATTTTTTTTTCATTACTTTAGAGAAAAAAAAAACTTTAACTTTAAGTTTTTCAATGAGATTCCACGATTAAAAAAATTAATAATTATTATACAGGATTCTGATGTTACTAGATTTCTTCTCTTTTAGATATCTAGATTTGGATTTAAAGGTCATAATATTTTAGTATCTTTAAAATACTTAATTATAAAAGTTATTTGAATTAAAAATTAAACACTTTAACAAAGTGCTATCATCTATTATCAAAGTGATTTTTAATTTATTATGAATGCCATTTAAACCATAAATTACTTGTTGTGTTGTGTACTTACCATGTATAATCTTCTGGTTGGTGATGTTGATTGTAAGTAGGTTGCTGTTGCTGAAAAACAATTTAAATTTTAATTCAATTTTAAAGATTAAATTAATAAAAATTTTAGTATAATAAACTTGCCCAAGAATTAGTTTCAAATTCAAATTTTGATTTTATAATTTAATAATAGTAAGACACAAATTATTTGTAAAACTATTTTAAATACTATTCAGGATGGCTGAGAAAACGTTTATTAAATAATTTAAATAAATAGCGAAATATTAAAATTCCTTTCAACATTCAGAGACTAATTATGCCAAGAAAAAATAAATAATCATAATCACTTAAACTTACTTCTAAATTAGGCATAGACTGTGTGTGGTCAAGAGGAGGCCTAGAATTTGTCACACTAGAAATATCTTGTAAAGAATGTCTGGTTGGTGGTAACCAATGTGCAGATCCCACTCTCATTGATTCTTGATTATTTAAATCTTCTTCTAATTCTTTTAGTTTCTTCACCAATTTTTCACCTATTTTAATTTTATTTAAATTAAATATTGTATTATTTATGATTAGTGTTTTATAAATATATGAAAGTAAGAGTAAAAANAAAATATTGTTTGATTAAAAAAACTACAATAATATGTAGTAAAATCATAATTTTGTTCATCCTTTTAAGGTTAAAAAACATTAACTTGAATTTTCTTAAATGGGAACCCCTATTTTGAATTTGTTATTATAATTTAAAATAAAAACACAAAAAACTTTGCTCTTATAATTTTTTTCCAATCAACCGTTCGTCTGTTATAGCTTGTTAAAGTTAAATGATTTTGAACTAAATTTCTATTATTTTACTGTTTTGAATACAGAAGTCACTATTTTTAATATAAACTAGTTTTTATTGATCAAGATATGACATGTAAGATAGCAATAATAAATTACGACACACTAATTGAGAGATAATAATAATAGATTCAAATCGGGCCTTAACTATATTATTATGTAATACTGAAGAATCAATTTCTTTGAAAAACCCAACTCTATATGTAGTATAGTGACTCTTAAAACAATCCAATACTACGATAATGTTATCGTAATCATTGCTTACACAAAGTAATCTTTATTTTTGTTGACAGATACATATTAAAAGTTGTAGTGTAACCTCATAAACTGAATGAAGTTAAATTAGTTTATGTTATAACTTAGAAAATGAGTGACTCCTGTATTCAAAACAGTAAAATAATAATAGAAATTTAGTCCAAAATCATTTAACTTTAACAAGCTGTAACAGACAAACGGTTGATCGAAAAAAAAAAAATTTTAAGAGCAATAATTTGTATTTTTATTTTAAGTCATAATAACAAATTCAAAATAGGGGTTCTCATTAAAGAAAATTCAATGTTTTTTAACTTTGAAGGGATAAAAAAATTATGTTTTTACTACTTATTATTGTAGAGTTTTTTGAATCAAACAATATTTTCCTTACCAAAAATTTAAAATTTTCAATAGTTACCAAGAAAATTAGTGTCTTATCCTTAATAAATCGCCCTGTATATTTAACAGTTCTTTTTTTTTTATAGATATGGCTGTCAAAAATTGAACATGTTTCAGTCCCAGTGCATGTTGTCATATTAGCTTTATACATTCATTTGAGATTAGGTAAGTAATTTTCAATGTTAACTTAAATTTTGTTAATCATAAAGTGCAACGTTTTTTCAGGCCAAAAAGAAATTGCAATAACATTAATTAAACAAAATTGTCCTCAAGCAAAAAGATAAAACATTATTTTAAAATAACACCTAATTTATTATTTTATGTATTTATATTTTATTTTCTATTTAAGTATACAATAATATATATTATGGTAGTCAATAAAATTAGAAAAAATAAAATTCTTACAATACTAAAAACACAACAACAACAAAAATAAAATTTTCTTCTCCATTCTAATAAAATTTTTAGTCAATGAATACAATATATTTTACAAAAATGAAAAGACATAATTAAGTTTAAAAAAACTTTAATGTATTCATATATAAATTTTTGTAATCTAAAGATTATGTTTTATACAATTTTTTTATACACAGCTGAATTTCACTCCTGTAAAAGACATAATAAATATTAGTTAAAACACATGTTAATTAACAACTACAATTGCATAATGTTAAAAAAATGTATTTGAACGTACCATCATCACTGGAAAAACAGTTGTGACAGTGTAATTTTTTATTTCGAACTCTTACATCTGTACCCATGAGACCATCACCAAGCTGTACACAACAAACACAACATTTGAAACATTCAATGTGATAAAAAAGTTGTAAGCTTTCAATTATCATGGCAGCTCCACGACCTAACTCAATTGTACAGTGAGAACATTTCTTTTTACCACTTACACTTAACATAGATTCTTGAGGAGCATTGTGTTCATGTCTACAAAATAATGAAAATATATTTTACTAGAGTAAAAGAAAAAATTAAACAATGAGTTTTTTTTAATGTTATTTGGGTAAATAAGTCATTTGATCAAAATTCTATAATTTTTCATTATATAAGGGTGATCAAATAATAATAGGAATTATTTATAAAATGACCCTTTTAGTTCTAAATTTTAATAAAATTGAGTAAAAATATTTAGGTGAAGATCATTTGTCTAAGAATGCTTTTAAAAAGACTTTGAAAAAAATAGTTTTTTTGGTTTTACCTTATTAGTTATAAACCATACTTAGAGGATTTTTTGTTTTCATAGATTTAATGATATCAAGTTATACATTTTTATTTTTTTGCAATAATCAAAAATTTTAAGTGTAAAAATACCCCAATATATATCTATTGAAATTAATAAATAAAGGATTAAAATATTCAATTTAAGGTTATTTTCTTATAATACGAATAATTCTACTTGGTTATATAGTAATTAACACACAGTATAATAAAGAATCGTCAATTTAGTTTTAATGATTCAATTATACTTATCATCTGGTAATAAGTAAATTCTATTTATCAAAAAACTTTAGTTTTGTTTATTAAAATCTACCTATGAAAGTCATTAAATGACAGACGATCTTGCACTCTCTGAGTAATTGTGTTTATTACTGAATCAGGTAAAGGTTTTTTAGATTGCATTGGTGGCGGAGGTGGAGGCAATGCTGGTCTAGTTCGTGAACGTGGCATATCGGCTGATAGCGGAGGTATTTGTCGATTGCATCTATCTACCAAACGTCTATGTTCAGCTTCCTAAAGAATTTAAAATATCTTTTAGTTATAATTCAATTAATTATTTAATAATGAACTATTGTAAATAAAATTCTTGTAATGAAAATTTTTACCTGGATCAGCCAATGTTGGTAATTGTACTTTTCAGGTTGACTAATCGAAGGTTTTCGTTTAGCATATCCATTGTTTTGCTGAACTGGTCGGGCAAAACTATTTTGTGACCTAGAAATCATTTAATGTAAAATATAATTTTTTCTTTTAATTCAAATCTGTTGAAAAATAACAAATATATGTAACATTAGTACATAATAAAATCAGATATAATGATTAGAATTAAGTATAAAATTTAAAATAAATTTTACTATACACTTTAAATAAATAAATATATACAATAAGACATTATTCAAGACTTATAGATACAGAGTAGTCGATACAACCTCTCAAAAAAATTTCTTTTAGGAAAAATTAATTTGGGTTATTATAATCGTATTTAGTCATACTCTAAGAAACAAAGTTATATTAATGCGAACAAGATTATTTTGCTGTTCCGTGTTTTACTTTTATTTAAATTTATTGTTGCAAGTTAAAAAATTTCTAAATAGAAATTTAATAAAATAAGTGTACACAATTGTTTTTATGGTAGTTTGAATATAGTTTATTGATAATAATGCTTGCTGTTAGTGATAATTTAAATTTGGATTTATGCGCATCTAAAAAGTTTAAAATTACATGCTATTAATCATAAAAAATCATTGAAATGTGCATTAAATTATGATGATAAAATTAATGGTTTATGGATTTATATCCAAAAAATTTACTTAAAATATATTCCACTGGAAAAATAAGGGCTATTTATTAAGATTTAGCACTTCAATTTTTATAAAGAATATACAACACCTTATATCTAATTTTACCTTCACCATGATATTGATCATAGATATTTATTAGTATTTAAAAGAAAATATATTATAAATAAGGACATTACTTTGATTTTGTAAGTAATTGAGTGGGTTGGAATATAAAAACTACATAATAACATTATTTAGTGATATTTTCTTATTACATGTGCAATTTTTATGAAATAGAAAATACAATTAAATAATGTTATTATGTGGTTTTTATATTACGGCTTCATTGGTCTATTTTAATCATCTGAATTACTTATAAATTAAAAGTTATATTGAAAATTTTTTTTTGCCTTTTTATTTAAATTATTCTTTTGGTCCAATTTGGGACATATCTGCCAAAATTAACCGTTTTTATAGAATTATAAGTTTAATAAGCATTTTTTAGAAAAAAAAAAAAAAATCTCTGCTGTAATTATTTTTGCTATAATTTTCTTTTATTTAGATAGCAAATAACTCAAAAACTCCATTACGAGAATAAATATACGTAAGAAATCGTATTTTTATTTAATTTTATTTTTATGAAATTTTTTCATTGCAATTCTATATGAGTTAAATAACAATAAAAGATTTATGTATTTTTTGATCCTTAATATAGTAGTATTTTACGTATAATATTTATCTCATAATTGAGTGTTTTACATAACAAAATTTGTTTATATTTAATATATTTGTTATAAAAAAAAATATACGACATTTCTGAATTCCTCTCAGAATTATTTTAGTAAAAATTTTATAAAGAAAAAGATGTAAGATATAAAAATCTATGGTATAAGAGAAAAGTTATTTGATTAAAAAAACTATAAATAATTTTTTTTTCATTACTTTAGAGAAAAAAAAAACTTTAACTTTAAGTTTTTCAATGAGATTCCACGATTAAAAAAATTAATAATTATTATACAGGATTCTGATGTTACTAGATTTCTTCTCTTTTAGATATCTAGATTTGGATTTAAAGGTCATAATATTTTAGTATCTTTAAAATACTTAATTATAAAAGTTATTTGAATTAAAAATTAAACACTTTAACAAAGTGCTATCATCTATTATCAAAGTGATTTTTAATTTATTATGAATGCCATTTAAACCATAAATTACTTGTTGTGTTGTGTACTTACCATGTATAATCTTCTGGTTGGTGATGTTGATTGTAAGTAGGTTGCTGTTGCTGAAAAACAATTTAAATTTTAATTCAATTTTAAAGATTAAATTAATAAAAATTTTAGTACAATAAACTTGCCCAAGAATTAGTTTCAAATTCAAATTTTGATNTTAGTATAATAAACTTGCCCAAGAATTAGTTTCAAATTCAAATTTTGATTTTATAATTTAATAATAGTAAGACACAAATTATTTGTAAAACTATTTTAAATACTATTCAGGATGGCTGAGAAAACGTTTATTAAATAATTTAAATAAATAGCGAAATATTAAAATTCCTTTCAACATTCAGAGACTAATTATGCCAAGAAAAAATAAATAATCATAATCACTTAAACTTACTTCTAAATTAGGCATAGACTGTGTGTGGTCAAGAGGAGGCCTAGAATTTGTCACACTAGAAATATCTTGTAAAGAATGTCTGGTTGGTGGTAACCAATGTGCAGATCCCACTCTCATTGATTCTTGATTATTTAAATCTTCTTCTAATTCTTTTAGTTTCTTCACCAATTTTTCACCTATTTTAATTTTATTTAAATTAAATATTGTATTATTTATGATTAGTGTTTTATAAATATATGAAAGTAAGAGTAAAAAAGTTAAGTTTATTCGGTATTCAGCGTAATGAATTTGAGAACATTTTTTCGATAAGTATTGATTGTTATATGAAATTGATTAAAATCATTGTTGTAAAACGTTTTGATGCGTGTTATGTGTAAGAAATTTAATATATTCATCAAAAATTACATGATTTTCTATTCAAGAGGCCAATTATTCATAGAGCACAACCACCAGAACATCTTTCGTTTTTAATCATATACCTCATTGAATAAGCTTTAACTTGAAATAGTTTAAAATGATGCAAAATTTGTTTTGATGCAAAAAAACTACAAAATCAGCAATTATTACCAAAATTGTATGATTTTTGGCTAATATGTCTGATAACTTTAAGAAATTGAGATTTCAAATAGTTTTTCTTTTTTATCTTAATATACATTGTATTAGTTTAATTTGAAGTAGGTTTAAGGAAGTCAGGCTTATTGAAAATGATCAAAAATTGTAAAGATAAAAATGTTGATATGATTTTTAAGCTCACAGTAACATGTTTAATGATTGGATTTTTAAATAAGTGTGTTGACAGCAAGGCAGCAAATGTCTGAAATATTACTAATAAAAATTTCATAAATATCCCCGACCAGTTTTCAAAAAATTTTTTCAGTCTAAAGAAAAAACTAAAAATATTAACATTTTTTGGGACAATTTCTTTTATTATGGAGATTGACGAACATTTTTCGATATGACCACCCTAGTAGTTTCAACGTTTTGACCTATCGTTGAATAAAATCAGTCCAGTGTAAGAGGAGTAATTGTGTTTAATGACATAAAAAAGCAACAGCATAAAACTAATAGCTTCTCATCTACATATCAAAGCTAAAATTATAATAACACACAGTTAGTAAATACTATAAGTTTTCCAATGAAAAGATAATTTAGAAGACTAGACATAAATTTTGAATTTGAATAAAAATTAAATGTAATTTATAAAATAAATATATAATTTTAATAAAATTTTAATTGAAAAAGCTTACCAATATTATTTTGAACTGCTTTGTTCTTCATTTGGTTGTTACGGCTTTGCTCTTCAACTTGAAGTATATCTTTCATATACTGGTTACTTTCACTATCTTCACCATCATCGACTACATACACATTCTTTGGTGGTAAATTAACGTTTTCATATATCTGTTAAATATAGAATTTCACTGTTGATATCTATTTCCAAATATCTAGTAAATTTTATAATCAATAACTCACTCTAACATTTTGAAGTCGTTCTGGTTTGTTTTGTTTGTATAATTGTTTCTCTAAGCGGCGTTCTTCTTCCAAAAATAATGTAAGGTCAGGTGGTCTAGATTTTAAATTTTCTAAATCTAAAAAAAATTAGTTAAAAAATTATAGAAAAATCATGATATAAACATTTTATTTTTAAATTTGTACCATTTTCGTAGCTCATCATGTTGCCATTAGTGTCTTCCAAACCCAAAAAACTGGACCTTTTCATCCACAGCTCTTTTTTTATACGCTTTGCAGAATCAACAGCATGAGCGACCTGTTATGACACATAATTTAATTTGAACAAATGCAAATCTTAATAATAAAAATAAAATTCTTACTGAATGAGAATCTTCAGACAAAGTTACTTCTTCAGTATAGTTGTCACCGTCATCAATGGGTGGGGGTGGAGGCTTCTCTTTTGGTGGTTCCAAAGCATTAATTGGAGTTAATTCTAACACCTATAAAATTTTTAGTAAGAATGTATAAATATTTTATTTTTGTTAAAGTAAAAATACCATATTGTATGAAGAATCAACATGATCAACAATACTCGGTTGGTGTTGCTGGACAGGACTAGGTTGTAAATTCATCCTTTGTTCCTCATCATCAGCCTGACTAACACAACTAGACATGTCTTCAGTATGTATTCCACTATCTTCAGCGCTTAAGCAGGATCCCGGATAGTTACCATCATCGGGATCTTCTACTGTTTGCTGACCACATACTTGATCTAAGCTGTCAATGGAATGACGGTTGACTAAGTCAGATAATGTTAGTTCGTGATGATGTCCCAATTGGTGATATTCATTATCATCACTAGTGGTGGTAGGAGCTAAACACAATCGTTCTTTTTCCATTGCCACAATGGGCTTCTCTTCTTCTTCTATAGAATCCTGTTGTTGACTTTGAGTCAAATTTTTTTCTTCGTCTTTCTCTTCCTCATAAAACATTGTTGATTCAGTTTTTGATTCAATTGTCGGCTCTAGAAATATTAACGACAAATTAAAATAATAATATAATTATTATTAATCAAATAACTACTTTAACTATTGTTTAGAAATAATTTGTTCAATTTACTTGTAATAGAAATCTGAGACGGTTGCTGATGATTTACGGGTGCCAGACGAGCAACTTCTACAGGTTCTGACAGTTTTTTTTTAAGAGAAGGTTTGAAAGTAGCAGGCATTGATTGTACTTCAGTGACGGCTTTTTCAAACATTTCTCGGCGTTTACTAATATCTACTTTGGGTAGTTCATTAATAGAAGCCGAGTGTAAATCTTTAGTGGATTGTGACCTGTTTTTGAGCAACATGACTTTTTCTTCAATTTTTGGGGCCGACAACCTCCGCTTAGTTTCAGCTATCGGCAAAGTCACTGGTTTTCTATAAGAAGGTACAGCCATCGGTTGAAGTTTACTATCACTATAATCATCTTCAACTTTGCTCGTAGTTTTTTTAGACTCGGCAAAGTCTACATAATCCTTAATGGCACGATCAAATCCATTTTCAGTTTGTTGTGTTTGTTCAGTCACAACGACTGTTTCTGTCGTCTTTTTCTCGTCTTTTTCTGTTTCACAAAAAACATTTTCTTGTTCAATTTGGGCACATTCTTTTAAAGATTCATCAGACTTTTTTCCACAGGATGTGCTAAGTCCAAGATCGCTGAGATCATTGCCATCGTCATCGTCTTGGTACAGAGCTGGCAGACTTCTCAGGCGACCACTCTTTCCCCTAAAACAGAATTCAATTATTTGTTTATAGTTGTGCAACAACTAGTACACCTTACGGAGAAATTCAAGTTAGACGTTTATATTTACATGCATTACACATATTCATTCAATTTCATAAACGCGCATGACCCGTTGCAACACAAGTGACCGATATACCTATTTGGTAAATGTTATAGCACTAGTAAAAAAACGTGAGTAGTTTTTGTTTTTGGAACCGCTACCGGAGCAGTATTATGAGTTGGAGCAACTCATAATTCTGGACTCATAGTAGTCAAAACAATACTATTATATATGCATACACAAACGACTTTCTCTGACAAAAATTGTTTTAATTGGCATCCTATTGTATATTGTAGCGTCCCCATTCGAACACTAATATAATTCAGAACTTTACATAATTGTTATTAAAAAAAAAAAAAAACTCATTATAATTAGTACGATGCAACTCGTTTTCTTATCTAATAGTTTGCAAATATGCAATTATAAAAAACACACCGCAAATACTCGAGATCTTCTACTCTTAATAATCAAGTGTAAGCAGGTCACAGGTATTATTTATTGACGTTAATATATCAGTCGATTAATACTTTTTATACTAGATGACTTAGGTAAAAAGGCGAAAATGACAACGTATTATACGATTAACAAAAAGTCAGCTTGTAAACAGGACATAGAATTAAAACGCAATTTTAATCACCGTGAAAGACAAAGAAATTCGATTAATACATCCAAAAACAGTGAAGTAATAGCTTAAAAAAGGAAATTATGACTTTCTTTTGAAGATTATTTAAAAATTTTGATTTAAAAATCATAATAACATTATTTAATTATGCGTTTATAAAACAATCATTAAGGAAGTATATAACAATTCGTTTGTGATATATGGTATAAACAAATGTTTTTTAAAAATAATATTTATACTTAAAACTGAATATTTGTCATAATTTTCTAGATGGTCATTATAATACATTATAATCAAATAATTAAAAGATCATCAATTAATAGACAAATCATTTTTATCAAAGGGATTAAAAGATTTTAACAATATACCAAATATTTTTAAATTGAGTTAAGAATATTTGTTTTTATCGAATTCAATATGAATATGTGCATTTGTAAATGAATTAATAGGGTTATGAAAAACTGGNCGAATTCAATATGAATATGTGCATTTGTAAATGAAATAATAGGGTTATGAAAAACTGGTGATCGAAAATATATGAGTTTCGTAGTATGAATCACTAAATATTATGACATGATCGCAACAATAATTTCTATTCAAAATTTACATTGTTTTTAATTTTATAAAAAATAAGGAGCAATGAGATATGATCTCCACTATTACGTCTTAAAATCGTAGCCTATTAAATGAATTATTATCATTACTTTTTTAACAAAATACAAACTTTCATACCTAAAATTGGAGAATGATATTGTAATTGGCAAATCCACCTTAGTGAATAAAAAAAAGTTCCACGCTGGATTTCTACACGCATCGTGTTCGTGTAACCCACATTAGTTATAATTGTCATTTTAATGTATTAAAATAAACTAGAAAAGAATAATGAGGGCTTGTGAGATATAATTTATTGATATACACCGCACACAATCAAACCTAAAAGGTTAACTTGATAGCTCATCAATCGCATTAACATATTTATGACATATGTACATTATGAAACGGGATAAATTAAAATCTCCCTTAGATTTTTTGTTAATAGCAAAATATTTATTCGAAAACAATATTCTTAACGACATTGTTTGATGTTAATTGTTTATATGTAAACATGCGTCTTACATTTTGGAAAAAAATAATGTTTAAGGGTTACACACAACGAACATATGAACATTTTTCAGAGGAATTATGCTATACACAATGTGCATACTGATAGTAATGATTTGTAGTAATTATATTGGTAAAATAATTACACGCATTATAAAATACACCACTTGAAATAGCTGTCTACTGACTAGCTGTCAGATATCGTTTGATTTTCTCTCGAATAACAACTAACAGTTGGGTTATAATTTAACGGTGGTGCTGGTTTAAGATCTTATAATTATTGTTTTTGAATAAGTACTATATTTGTATGTATTTGGAATTTATACAGTCAACCGATACGCCACGAGGGATTCTTTAATAGATTTTAATTAAGATACTAGTTCATCGGATAGAAAACCGATCGAAATTCAAAACGATAATATCCGTAACCAAAATTCATATCTTTAAATAGTGGCGGAAATTTAATATGAGATGATTGAGGTATAAATATATTAAGAATCCTAATACTGATGAAATTACTAGTACTCCTCATTAGCGAGTTATATACGAGAAAAAATTATATTCATTAATTACTATACAGCTATGAGATATCTATAGTTGAAAAAATTCTGATAAAATCTAAAAACTAATCAAACTCGTTGAAATGTTTAATTTCGAACTAAACTGATATTTATCTTTTAAAGAGGAACAAATACCTATAAAACAAATAAGACAAAAATCAAATCGAATAAATATTAATAAGGTGTTTAAGTTTAAGTACAGTAGCTAAGTAAAGTTTTGCAATTTTTTAAATGCCACATCAAATGGTGCGCTTAATTTTAAGAGAAAATTACTATAGATTAGTTTTTATTCGACAGTAACTTTAAAAAGGACTACTATAATTTGTCCAACTTACATTATAATTTGCACGTGATTTTACGAAAAGTCACAATTCCGTACTTCCTGTTAAATATGTTGATTGTTACAACATAACGCAACAATGCATAATTTCGTAGAAATACAAAACATTGGGTACATTTTTGTATTTAAAACCATAATTAAGTTATAATTAACTGAAAAAACGTTGTTGTTTCAAATACATTTTTGAGACATTTCCCATTAATGAAAAAATACATACAATACTCAAAACATATGAAATAAAAGTCAGAGAATAAATTATTTTTTAAAGTTCTATTTTATAAAAATAATTAAAAATATTATATAACAAAATATTTTTTGTTATAAAGTGTCAAGTTATTTATTTGAATTAATTCTCAGTTGACCAATAATGATATTTGACATTAAATACTTTAAAAATAATACAATACGTTAGCGTTTACAAATAATAAAAAAAATTGAGGATTAAAAATATTTCAATTAAATAAAGTAAAAATGTAAAATAAACTATTAATAGTAAAAATTTGAGAAAATTGTAGAAACGCGTAGCAAATGCATGCATTAAAAAATACCTAATAACAGTTTTTTTAATATTTTAATGATCCACAAGTCATACACATAATATTTTTATTGGTTTTTATTTTATTTTAATTCTGAAATATGCTTTCTGTTAACTTATGTTTTAAGTGATTTAAATTGGACAGTAATATCATTAAAGATAATTTTAACTGAACTCCTAAAAAATCGAAATAAAAATATATCAATAAAAATTAGGACAATTAAATATAGAAAACAGGAAATAATAACTCTTAGCATAAATAAGCGTGTCTATTTACGATTAATAGAAACACTGAAAGAGATTTAGTTGCCAAAATAATATAAATAACAGTCTTATTAGATGTTAAAAAAAAATACAAATTTTAGTATAAGACCAAGATAGTGAACAACAAAAATGTTGAACGCTATGTAAACATCTAAGTAATACGCATAATTTTTATAATCAAATTTTTTTACAATTTTCACTTGGAATAGTAATTTTAGGATAGTTACAAAATATTATTTTTAGCAATTTTAAAATTACATGTGCATAACAACTAATAAACAAATACATAAATTTACACGTCATGGTATACAGAGTGATTTTAACGCAAGCCACTCAGTTTCTTTTAAAATAATAAGTTCTTTGAATTTTTTTTTTTTTTGTTTTTGTTAGTTACATATATATTTCTATTTATCTATTCTAAAATAATTTTTAGGTTCACCTCTTATATCTTATAGGGATACCAACTAATTTTTTTTAATAGAAGCATACATATTAAATTAGCTTATAAAATAGAAAATTATCTGACTAAGAAAATGACTGGTCAATAACAACTTTTGGATCAGTACTTCTGAAGTTATTCTCATTTTCATAGATAGGAGGGTGGAAGAGTACGACAGGGAATGTTTAGTGATAAAAATCCTCACCCACTCCTCACTTACATAGTTATTTTAAACTATTAACACAAATTCTGAAATACCTATTCAGAAGTTGTTATCGACCAGTAATTTTCTTAAATAATTAATTTTCTATTTAATAAGCTAGTTAAATATGTACGTTTAATAAAAATAAAAAAAATATTTTATATCAGATAAATGGCGACACATATGTAACTAACAAAAACCGAAAAAAATATTTCAAAGAACTTGTTATTTTAAAAGAAATTGAGTGGCGAACGTTAAAATAATCACTTTTTACAGCAATTCATTATATTTATTATTACTTTCTTATACTTGATTAAATTTTAATAATATGCGTTGTAAGTTTTATATTCTACGTGACTTTTAATATTTAAATAAAAATAAAAGAATTAATAAATATGGAATTTCCATCAATCCGTTCACGAACTTATTAATAAAAATCGCTAAAAATTTTAGTATAAATAATGATTAAATTTACTAAAATTTGATTAATTGATTTGTTTGATAAACGTGGTATTTCACCACTCGAAGAGAATTAGTTATTCTGATTTATAAATAATATTAATGCAAATTACGAAAATTGATGATGTTTGGGTTTCAATTATATCACTAACATGGTAACAACATTAACAGTATTTAAATGGCAGCAACCGCTGATTTAAATAAATAGATGCATTAACCTAGGCTCATTAGAAATGTGGTTATGATTACAGGAAATTACATCTATTTGAATACAAACGAATTACAGAAAGTCAACATTATAATGCATAGAAATGCGAAAAAACGGTTATAAATCAGAAAAAAATACTAAAAAACCTTGCCAAACAACATTGGAAACATTTATTGACTGAACAGAATGTGAATTATTTTGAACTGTATCTATTACATGTAAAAATTAGTACATTCACTTATATATGAATACATTTTAACTGATGGTGGAGACTATTATAATAAGTATTTAAAAGTTATACGTATTATGTCGCCATTATATTGTTATTATTTACCAATGACATATAACACAATGATTTACGACTTCCAGATGAGAAATCTTCCAATTTCAAATGACAATGTGTGGTTAGGGAGAGAGAGTTAAGAACTTTTTCCTTTTCTAAATTTGAATGAAAATAAAGCGCAAAGTTGAATTTGATTTTCTCTCTAACATGCGCATCACTTTTATAAAACAATAACAATAAAATAATACATCCTTCTATTACACAGCGAATGAATTTAAAATGTTCACCGCCACTGGGTTTTCGAATGGTTTAATTGTGTCACAATATAAAATTTCATAGTAATTTCCTCCTTGTATACATACGTTTTGTACCTTTACCTGTTTGTGCAGTTTTATAAAATAAAACGTACATTGGCAGTAAAATTAAAAGATCCATTTACATGGTTAGAAAATTTAATACAGCGTTTTGATATGCGAAAGATGTGTACCAACTTAAAAGTAGAGCTTGAAAATTGGTTCAAATCATCTGTTAGACTCACTAGAAAGATTGTCTATTTATTTTCAGCAATTATTTAGATATAATTATTTCACACAAAGTGATTTAACAGTAAATATAGTTTGCTATCGTCTGAAATTGTAAACTTAGAATAAAATATTTAACATTACGAATCAATACATAACTCGAATATTAAATATTTATAAGTTTATTGTACTCGCATAAGACACTTTATACGTTTTTTTTAAATAGGACAGCTTATGGGAATTTTTTTTAATGTTTATTCGGTTATATTTTCTAAAATTTTTTGCAATCAATGTATAGAATAATACATCTCTACATGTACTTTGACTGATTAAAAAATACCGTTTTTACGTTAAAAATTAGACGAAATAAATAATTACGGCATGAAAATACAACAAAAACGTAGCATTTTATTTAAGCGTAGAATGTTTTTATAATAATGATTTTTATATAATGACTATAAGCAAAATATTATCAAACGGACAAATGATTGATTTCGTGAATTTAAAATATTAACAGGTGGTGATCAACTTGAATTCATGGCTGTCAAGAAATAAATAAAGATATTTGCATACACAACAGCTCACTATTATTATATTATTGACTGTCCGCCTACATTTACACAATTGTTAAAAAATCAATGGAATGCAACAACCCGTACATAAGAATAGATAACGTTTGTTTTTATTAATTTACTTTGATCTGTTTTTTAAATAAATAACCTCTAAATAAGATATGTAATTATGTCTGTAATTGATCATCCAATTGGGAAAATAAAAAAAGTTTCTTAGTCGAAAATATATTTTCTCATGAAAAAATGAGACTTTCACTGACCAGTGCAAAATAAAAGTATAATTCGAATTAAACGAAGAATAATTTGTTATTACGACACTGAGTTAGGAAACACTGTGATTGTATTACCGCATGCAACTCATAACAAGACAACAATAATCGATTGTATCTATGCTTATGGTAAACGTGTAGGAAGTACTACACAATGTAAACTTGGCCGTTACAATTTTTTCAAAAGTTATGCGACAAGTTTGTAAGTAAACAAAAATTCAATAAATTACCAGAGAATTTTGTCCTATACAATCCAATAAACAATAGGATAGAATCTATTGATATATATATATATATATAAATCTATTCCATTAATCTCAACTCGATAATAACTTGTATAATTAAATTAGCTATGAATGTCCTTAAAATGAGTTACACAATTACATAATTTATAAATATTTAGGAAAATAATGAATTTTAATTACAATAATGCCATCGCGAACAGGTTTCCTACAAGCAGTAAATACTACCAACATTCCTATTAAGTTAGAGGTTCAAGTATTATTATGTATAAAGTAAATTTTTCCTTCAGTAACGCAACTATAATAATAGTTGTATGCGCAATCATAATAACATCTTGAAAAGTAAAAAATTATAACACTGTAGTCTGTACTACTACTTAAATTTAATAAGCTGGTTGTGTGTAATTTTACAAGAATTGATACACCTTACCTTTCTTGTATCATTTCGTTAAATGTTTTGCTTCTTTTTCGGAAACCATCATCAAGCCGATCAGTTTCGAATTTTTTTACTTCTACTAATCGTTCAATGATATGTTCTTGTTGTTTTCTTCGATTGCTCTTCCAATTATCCAAGTCCTGGTAGATAAAACATACAGTTAACACATTAAAAATTTGAAAAACTGAGTGAACAATCAGTGTTGAATATTATCGTAGAATATGAATATTATTTCTTAAAATGTAACGTAATCACAGAATAGNAAAAATTTGAAAAACTGAGTGAATAATCAGTGTTGAATATTAGTATCGTAGAATATGAATATTATTTCTTAAAATGTAACGTAATCACAGAATAGTCTATAATTTTTAGTCAGGTAATTGCATGTCAATATAAATTTATTTAAGTACAAAAGAAAAACACAAATGGTAAGGTATGGTATTTAAATAAAGATTAAATTTATGTTACTATTCAGCTTTTTTTTTTACTTCAACACCACTTATTAAAATCTTAGACAAACAGATTACACATATCTAAGTTGCGTCATTTTATTTTAAATTATTATATACAAAGTGTTTATGTGCAAATGATAAGATTAAAAAATAAAAATGCAAATGAAAAATAATTTTCAGTGATTCACTTTTATTTAACTATGCTTTGTAATTTCATTATTTATAATGATTTTTTTTATAAATTTTAAACAAATTTATTTATATCAAACCAAATCACGGTAAAAATGCAAATATTAATAGCTATCTACACTGAATTTTTAATCAGTACCATTCTAAAGATAATTTAGCTTCATACGTGAAAAAGCTATGAATTAATGTGACATAAAAAATAAAACCATTTACCATAAAAATGTTGTATTGTAAAAAAACAAAAAGGAGCGACAGATACTTACTGATTGCCAATCTGCATCAAATTCTTTATTTTTTGGTTTAGCTATCGCTACTTTGTTCAGCTGCTGCTCCTGAGCCGATCGGTAACGATCAGATGAAGTTTGCAGCTTTACAAACTGTAGCGGAGCCGGTTTCATGGACGACATCATCTGATCAACTGAAAAAATAAAATAATTTTAAATATCACAATAAAGAAGAGTGTAAGTANCTTAAATATCATAATAAAGAAGAGTGTAAGTAACTTAAAATTACATATTTTAGAGTATTAAAAATTCAGTAATAATTGCTAAAAATGTTTTAAAAGTACTGAGGAACTAAACTCTTTGTACGGAGTCGGAAGACAATAAAAGTCATTAAACAATATCCAATGCATACATATCTATATGCAATACAACAATACACCTTTCCCTCTATAATATAAATTTCTTACAATGTGTTTCTGACTTTTTATATTTTCCAGGTCATTCCTCATCACAGGTATCCCACAACGGCAGTACATTTCTTATAGCACAACAACTCGCGCCATGCAAAGTGCTTCGGGACACTTTATAACACATACGTCGAATGCTGAGAGGAGACCACTCGATGGATCTCATATTGTTACTCGAGGGCCATCAATCTCTTATATTTAATTCTATCCGTACACGAAATGACCTTGTACCGCACTGTTCTACTTACAACGGCAAAGTATGTTTTATAATTACGAATTAAACATAACTTTTACACTTAATGTCTCCATGAACATAATAGGTGGACATTAAAAAAAAAAAAAACAAAAAAAAACGTGAGGGGCCCATTGAAGAACTTTCAGTGGTCGTATTCATTAGCATGTGCCATACGCGTTTTGATTGATAGTACTCACGAGTGAAATATAACATGCCCATTAAAAATAATAGTGGAGGTATTTATCAATACTAAAAAATGTCATAATAACCTAAATTCGTCGCGATACGGTCAAGTGTCATATAAAAAAGATGAAACATGGTGTCAATCGTTATGTTCTTAAGAAATTCTATATATAATTTATAACCGGAGAAAATTTAACTTTCCACGTAATGATTTTCCACCAATGACCGGGTGCACCTTTCCCACATCACAAGGTCTATGAAACATGGTCCATTGAACACCACAACATATAAATATTATGTTGTAGTAAATATTATATGCTACAACAATATAACGTTATAAACATAGTACTCACTACTTTAGAAATACAATAGCGTTAAAAATTAGCTAGCATAAAATGATAAATTACTGACTTTTACAAGATTTTAGCCTGCATGAATAAAAAATTTAAAAGTAATATTCAAATAGAATGAATTAAGTTTAATTTTCTTTATGAATCTTTATTCATTAATCACAATTGATTTATTTGTTGATAATTATCTACTTCAAATGAGTGGGCACAACGTCAACAGTTGTAGAATCAAACGAGGTAGACGACCTCTTCCGTTGAATTATTAACTAATAGTGACATCCAACACGTCTGATTGAATATTTCAATTAATCTTGAAATCGTATAAGTATTAAAAGAAGGCATTTTCAACGGTATAAAGTTAATGCCTTATAAATTTGTTTAAAGCTCATAAATTATGCAAAATATTAAAACAAAATGTAAAACACCACAATTATGTTAAAAATTATTTATACGCTATTTTAATAATTCCTAGTTTAGTCCAAAATTAATTAAAAAATAGCGGAAAAAATATTTTAATTATTTAGTAACTTCGAAAAAAGAAATTTTTCGTTTTGTCAGCAATTGTTATGTGTTTTTTTGGAAATAAATAAATAAAAATTGATAAAAAATATGTAAAATGCATGTCTTTTAACAATTGAACTACTCGTTTTGTGAAGTATTGTAATTAAAATGATAAGTCCACTTATCATTTTGAATTAACTAACTACGAATTGTGTGCGATTCAAATTAGATATTGTTCAACATTAAGCTGAGCTATTTTGTTCTGTAGTAGTTACCGGTAATTGTATTTAGTCGTGGAACTTCTTTTTCTCTTTTATTTGTTGAAAAAAAAAACAAGAAATAAGTAATGCGCCAATTGTTATAATCTGACTGTATATTTCCCTATAATTATATAAGCATACTTCTAAATTTGATTATCTTCAAGTTTTATCTTATGTACCTTGCTACTGTGCAACTGTGCACGTGTGAACCATATTAGTATTGCATGCATTATTCAATGTGTAGGGTGTATGTAAGTACTTAGTTGTACATGTTTGTTTATACTTTTATATTCATACCCTACAAGGATATCACATGACAATAATTATAACTGATATTATGTAATGAAAATGAAAACTGTTGTAAACACAAGGAGAAAAATTGGCATTAATGAGAGGAGGTTTAACCGAGATATGTTTTTATAAGCCTAAAAACAACATTCACTGACATAACATTCAATAAAGGCGAAAATTTCACAAATAAAATAAAACGTTTCGTAATGCGCTTTACTGTGTAAATGTCAAGTTGAAATGTCAAACTTGCATGTGCAAATAATTGCAACCGTTTGCGAACAACTAAAATTATATAAACGGATAAAATAACAATTATTTAGTTAAATATATTTCAAATATATTTTAATAGATGAAAATAAATTAAAAATTTTTTTTTCGATAAGCTGTTGAAAAATGTTTACACAAACATTTTTCATAGTTTCTATAACATACAAGTGTACTTAAAAATACTATGAAAATTATTATATTAACGACAATAAAGTGACAACTAGTTAAGACAATATTACGAATCCCAATTCTATATTATATCACCTATCGAGGGAATGTCGTATACATTAATGGCAAGCAATAAATAGTTTATTATAAACGCGATGGAAGTTTCCCATCATTAACGAAATTGAAGTACGCGTGTTACATAAAACACAGTGCATGTTGCCTGGAGTTCTACGGAATGCCCTTAATTTCAATATTTTCATGCTAAAAAGTCATAAGTTTACACGCCCGGCTAATAAATTAAAAATAATAACAAATAATTGAACTCGTAGAGCAGTAAAGTGTGATTACTTATGACACAAGTTCGTGAACTCCCAATCGCCTAATAACAAAACCAGTTATACGTAAAACACTAGGGCGACACCACACTGCGGCCATAACGACTCGACTTATAAACAACATAATTACTACCCGTTGGACAAATAACACGACGCATGTTATGTTATCAACTATCTGAATAAAATATAACAAAAATCGTTCGGTAGATATCATCGCGACTATCGCACAAGAAAATGTACGCGCAGCTACTGGCACTTTTTATTTGGGTCATCCAATTATTATTTTCAGATCACAGAAATGTCCACATTTTTTACGTGAAAATTCGTGAAACCGCCTTAATGGGTTACTGTATTTTATGCGCTAGTTACCTACGGCAGATGTGCTGGCCGACGGACAGCCAGTGGAAGAACACGGTTCTGTTGACCGACCACCTAGCCGTTTCTTCGATACACACACAAACACTGTATAAACATGTCTTGTTTTTTCGCTTTATATACACACGGTACACGATAATTACTATACCGCGGTATTCTGTACTGAGCACGCAAGAAAAGACGTAGTCGTGACACACGTTGTTAAGTCATAACGACTCCTCCAAACACTAATGTACACGTAGTGTAATTTATAGAGACGACGGTAAAGAGCACAAAAGTAAAGCAAAATCCAATTTACACACGAATGTTCGAGTTAAAACGCTAAACTGTGTGTATATTATATGTTCATGAAATATTCGTTGAGTCATTGTGCTGTCTTGTAAATAGAATTTGCTCCGGAAGTTGTTTTTCGTATGTGAAAAAGGACGGCGACGACGTTATGTAAAAAATAAATTAACGAGATTCGTACGTTTTTGACGACCGCGGTAATAATGACCTATTACAAAACACGTGTACAAATAAAGCCACAGTGTAGATGATCGCGACCAGATTTCTACATCTATCAACACACTTTTCAAATGAAAATATGTAATGGTAAACATCAACAAGGCTCGCGTTGACCTTGTCCGGGGAAAAAAAATGGTAAATTATGAGAAGCCCTGTACGGTTCCGTTTGGATGGCTTTTCGGCGGGTGTTCGCCAATAACAACAGTACCATAATAATATATTTATATTACACAAAGTGTAACATCACCAGTAGTACGTTGTAGATATTATAATAGTTGTAATACGCGAAGCCGTGTAGGTGTACTTAAAACTACATTGGTCATACCAACCGAGGAAAAATAATACGACTACAATGTAAAAGGTTTGATGTGTACAAACACAAAAACAAATCACTATTGAACTACACCATAGTAGCGGACCGTGATGCAAAAACGATTGGATGGAACTTTAAAAAACGCAATAGAAAAACCTTGAACACAAACGCAAAGAACACTTTATTAGGATTTACCATTTTCATTTTATTTCTGTTTAGAGTTGAACGATTTCAAACAACGTCACACAATTTTACAACAAATTAAATAAGTGACATTTAAATAAATTACGACTGGCACACAACTACTTGTTCAGTCCAACGTCGTTTTAAAGTCTTTCGGTAATAATTCTGTTGAAAAAATCTTGAATCCGGCGACGAGTTGGAATAAAATTTTAAAAATCAATTATCAAACAAGACGCAGACGTGATCATCTTTCAAGGACAGAGATCAGCTATCATACGGACATAAATGTTTTTGCATTCGTGATTACAATCACTGAAATTCGATATTGTGCAATAAAGAAAGCCCAGCGCGTTGGCGGATTTACCGGAGCTCACGATTTCTGTTTGACATGAGCAGTGCTCCAGCGTACCGTAGAGACGGTTCCGTTCGGAGACTCCCCGCCAACAATATTATTGGTCGGTTTCAGTAGACACTAAAACATTTAAGATTCACCGGCAGTTTGACCTATAATTACGGTTGTCCGTGTTGCATACATATACAATAAAGAAAATAAATTAATATTTAATTGCCCGTATAAATGTTTTTTTATTATATTTTCTGGCGTTTATTTTAATGCGCGCACCGTTTTTCGTAGTTTTTTTTTTTGAGACTATTCAATCTGTTTTCAAATTATGTGCCAAATATTCCATATGCTTATTTAGAAAGACGGACGCTTTAAAATAGTCTGAAGCAAACACAATCATGAGAACTTATCGTTGG